GCCCCGGGCGGCCGGTGTGTGGCCCCCGGCCAGAGGCCAGCCCCGCCGGGCCGCCGCCGCCGTCGCCACTGCCGGCGAGCCCCACGCACGCAGGGTTCGCACGGCCGTCCTTGAAGCCAACATATGATGAGAGGGGCCGAGGGAGAGGGCGAGAAGAAGAGAAAGGCACGTGCACACGCACAGAGAGAGAGAGAGAGAGAGAGAGAGAGAGAGAGAGAGAGAGAGAGAGAGAGGGGGGGGAGGGGGAAGCAGAGGTTGCCATGTGCCCCAAAAGCGGCCCCCCGCGCATGCGTCCCCCACGCCCACAAATAGATCCCCACACAGCCTCTCCACGGTCCCGGCGGGGGACCCGGCGAGCGAGGAGACGCCCACGAGCGCAGATCGCACACCGCCGGAGACAACACACAAACCAGACAAAGGCTTCCCCCATCCAACAACCCGTTCGTTGGCTGTTGGGCTCACATTGTCAAATCATATAAATTCACATTTTTCTTATGAAAATAACATCCGCTAGGACACACACATGATATCAGGCCGGCGTGCCCACCTTTACGCACCCATTTGGCAGTCCGCCACAAGGAAGCGTCGTGTGCGCTTGCGTTGTGTCCCCGCGAGAGACCACACACGCCCCCTGGACTTCCCCGGTGTTCACCGTGTGTCTCGATCGCGTGCGCGCGCGCGCGCGCGCGGCCCCCCATAGCCCCGTCACCCGCAAAGACAGATGCCCTGCTTTCTTCTTCGCCTCTTTTGCTCGCGCCCGGATTTTGGGCTCGCCTCTCGCTAGTCGCCCTGTGGCCGGCGGCGCATCGCGCACCCTGCGGGCCTGGCCCGGCAGTGCGGCGGAGCATGCCATATGGTGACCGCGAGCGCCGCCCCCCCCCCCCCCCCTCGCTTGGCCCCGCGCCATCGGCCACGGAGCCCATAAACCAGCAGGTGTTCGGCCCTCCGACAGGGAAACAGAAGGCACCGCACATCGGCCTTCGCGGCAGGGCCACCCCCCACCGGCACACACACACAGCACCCTTTTTTCTCCTTCTCCCAGCGAAGCAGCCTCTCCCGGGCGCCGAGAAGCGCCTCTCCTCCCTCTCCCTTTGGCAATCCCGGAGGCGAGGCTGCTCGCTCGCGCCAAGCGTGCCCGACACTCGGCCATGGGCCTGCCTTGTAATGTACCCCTTTCAGACGGTCGTCGTCGCGCGCAGAAAGGTCCGTGGTCAAAATGGTGGTGATGGTGTCACGGTGCGACCTGGCCGGGTGTATGGAGATTCTCCGCTTGTCTGTCCATGACACCCTGGGGTCCTGTGCCTTGGAGGGTGCAGCCATAAACCCCCTAACCCCGGGGATGGGGGGGGGGGGGGGGGCAATGGCCTGCGCGCACATCCCACACAACCGAATGCGATGTACACCCTCAGCCGGAGGACCCGAAAGAGAGGCACAGCGGGCCCGAGACACCCAAAGCAAGGTGCGTGTGCGATGCCGGCCCCTGGAGCCGCCTCGTGTACTTGCACATGCTGCAGTCCCTTCCTCCGTCCACCCGCCGGGACACGCTCAAATGCACGCATCGGCAGATAGTATGGCCACACACACACACACAGCGTGCCCCCTCCGCATGCGTCTATTCATCCGCCCGCGCCCGGGGGCGGGGGGAGAATGTGCTGCTCTTCGCAGACACCGATGTCCCCACCAAACATGCCCCCTGTGGGCCCCCCTGAAACGCCCAGTGTCCCTCCTCCCCCCCCCCCGCTCGCTCGCTCTCTCTCTCTCTCTCTCCATGCTGGCTTGGCCATTCACACTGTCCCCTTCGCCCCCCCCCCCCCCCCCCCCCGCACAGACACCGCATGCAAGACCTCGTATAGCCACACAACCAAAGTATTTATCGACATGTGCAGCTATTCAAAGCACAAAGGGACGGGCATATCTGAAAGTATGGGGATATATGTCGTCCACGGAGCGACAAATATGGGTAACGGGCGCATTGGGATGCGCCATCATCGCCTGCTCCACTTGAAAGGCCCGTGTGGCCGGGTGCCGCATGTATCCCGGGGCCGCAAACCGGGCGCCCTGTCGAGCAGCGTGCGCTCGCAGCGAATTCACCACCTGCGGCAGGGCGCAGCCCAGATCCGCCGCCACCTGGTGCAGCACCGGCCGCGG